ATATATATATATATGACAAGTAAGTGGAACGTAAATAGTTATATGTTACTGCTGGTATGTTTAGGTTAGAGGTTCTTATCTTGGGCACTGTTGACATTTTGGGGGGGATAATTCTTTGCTGTAGGGCTGTCCTGTGCATTGTAGGATGTTTTGCAGCCTCTCTGGTCTCTACTCAGTGGGTGCCAGTAGCAACCCTTCCATGAGTGATGACACCCTCCCTGGGGTGTCAAATCAGCCCCCACAGGGATCACTGGCTTAGACCTTTTTCAATTCCATGGTTAATTCATGATCACTTTATACAATTGGAAAATAGAGAAAAATATTAAGATTAAAATAAAAACTAAATGTTCTAACCTGTATTTAGATAAGTAATTCCTTATCAAATCCAGTTAATTTGTATTTGTCAAAATTATAAATCCACTTGTTCCCTGCCCTCACTCAGCCCATGTAGCCAGGTCTGTGGGGTGGCATGAGAGAGAACATCGTATACAGATGGATAGAAGATCAGGCTGAGAAAAATATGCCCTTAAACACTATAGCTGTTTGTGAAAATGACAATGGATTTTCTAAGGCTTGAGAAAAGGAAAAGAAGTAAAAGCAGGTAAATAAAAGCGTATCTTTAAAAAAGATATTTTAATTCAATTCCCAAATAATTCATCAGTACATATTCATTAAACCACAGACAACACAAATACCTCTTGAATACCAAGTCTCCACCCTGAGTCTCCTCTTAGGGACCCGTTCTGTGTGATTGATCTGTCTCATTCTAGATGGTGTGAATGTATTTGCACCCTCTGTAAGTATATGGAGAAATATGTTAAAATATATTTTGTTTTTATTTTTGAAACATAATTTTTTAACAAGCTACATGTTTATCTACCTTGCTTCTTCCCCCACCCTTAAAAATGCCTTAGCCAGCCTTCCAGGTTAATATTCCTGGCTCTACCTGGCTGTTAGTTGTCACATTGTATCACAGAGTAGAGATTTGCTGCACTTTTTTACCAGTCCCCACTCAGTGACTATCAGGTCATTGATAATTTTTAGTATTATTTCAGTATTAAGACAGTGAGATGTTCTTATACATTCCTTTCTGTGGACCTGTATAAATACTTTTTAAAGACATTTGTCTAGATGTGTAATTGCTGAAGAGTGTGCACTTTTGAATTTTTTTGTTACCAAGTTGTTTTTTATAAAAGCCGTTTCCTAATTTCATAGAGACTCCCTTCCACAGTATTTAAGTGCCCATTTTTCCACCCTTACCAATACTGGATGTGTCAGTCTTTTTCATTTCAGTCAGTCTGACAGGCAAATATTATGTCATTTTCATACAGTCTGCTTAACAGTGACCTAGTTACTCACTGATGTAGTTTCCAGGAAAACAGTGGCTCATAAAATGCAGGACTTCCTGTGCTAATCAAATGACATTATCAGTTTAGATTAGCATTGTCCTCCGTGAGTATTGAGTATTTTTTCATCATGGTAAGTCAGATAAGTGGCAGACATTGAATCATCTGCAGAACTATTTTTTTAAACATAAAATAAATAATTCTGGCTGGGCACGGTGGCTCATGCCTGTAATCCCAGCACTTTGGGAGGCCAAGTTAGGCGGATCATGAGGTCAGGAGTTCGAGACCAACCTGACCAATATGGTGAAACTCCATCTCTACTAAAAATACAAAAATTAGCTGGGCATGGTGGTGCACACCTGTAACCCCAGCTACTCAGGAGGCTAAGGCAGGAGAATTGGTTGAACCCAGGAGGTAGAGTTTGCAGTTAGCCAAGATCACACCACTGCACTCCAGCCTGGGCGACAGAGTAAGAGTCCGTCAAATAAATAAATAAAATAGTTCTTCATGTCCATTTTTTTATGAGACTGGAAGGAGGGCCTGTGAATGCACGACAGACCATTTCCATTACCAAACAAGGAAGGGTAAATATTTACCCATGATTTCACGTTGTAATTAGAGCTCTCAAGTGCACCTAGGATACACTCCAGTAGACATTATAGATGAATTGAGCGAGGCCACCCCCCCATAGATAGGGACACCTGCTGCATTTAGTTTTAAGTCATTGCAGGTAGTTGGGCTGTGGTGGTTTCTATGGTCATAGGGCTGGAATAAGGATTTGGGTTCTTGCAGCATCTCAGTCCCAGCCAACTGGTAGTATCCTTCCAGAGTGATGTCTGTGCATAGTGCAATCAGCACACAGAGCAATGTCTTCAAAGAAGAAGCCCTGTTGATTTCTTGAGAACAACTGCAGGTCTTCCTCTGGCTTTAGCCAGAAGTTGTGCTATGATCAAGTAGTGCCATCTGCCCAAGTAGTGCCATCTGCCCAGAGTGCAGCATGGGGGAGGGGGTTTGGCTGTGTTTTGGTGCAGTCACTGCCCATAGTGTTGTCATTGCTTCATTTGGATGTGCCATATGGCTAAAGATGCTCTCTCTAGGTCATTTTTGTTGCTTCTGCCTCTGCTGCTTGTTACTACATTTTGCCCCACTTACTATGAGGATTCCCCTACTGTTGGATGTTTCTGAATTTTTCCCTCATCCTAAGCATGCATATGACTGCTCCTCTTGCCCCTCATGCACGTACCACTGTAGGTAGCAGACAAGGTCTTCCACCCCTCTGTTTTCAGCTTGGCAGAGTGCCTTGCACAGAGGGGGCTCCCAATAAATGTTTTATCACTGCATAGCCTTGCTTCAGATATGTATTTTTTCCTAGTTATAACAGTTTCAGAATTGCAAGAGCACATCTCATAATCCATGTGTACATTTAACAGCATTTTCTCAAAAAAACTGTTACTATGATAATCGATAATATGGTAAGACCTCACTTAACATCATTGATACGTTCTTAGAAACTGCAACTACGTGAAATGATGTATAGCGAAATCATCTTCTTTCTTCATCAATGTTATAACAAAACAGCGTTGAAGGAAATGACCGTACATTATTTCACTTAAAGTCTCAGTTTCCAAGAACCTATTGATAACAATGAAGGACTTACTGTGTTGTAGAATTGAGGAGATATGTTGATAATGAGCTGATTTTAAAAAACATGTATGTTTCTTTATAAATTATACTTTTATCATTTAGTTGGTCAGGTGAGTAGCAATCAGTAAGTATGTAGAATAATATGCTCCTGCTGGCCTCATTCCCACAATATCCCCAGACATGGATTGTGAAATTCTCTGGCTGATACTTGAATCTGCTCTGATGTATGAATAAGAGGAGGAGTCATTCACTAACCAACAGGTAGCACCTATTTCCAATAACTTATGTTACATTTGTGACCCAGGAATAAATACAGGGCAGTCTTGCTCTCAAGTCCCATCGTAGAGCAAAAATACCTATTAGTCTGTCTCCATTCCAGGTATTGAAATGCTTCTTACAAAGAGCTCTAACGGATTTCTTAGCAGGGGCACAGGGAAACGTATTTATTTAATTTTTTATTTTTTCAAAAGCAGTATTGCTGCTTTGAAATCTTTCAAAGAGAAGTCTTACAGAGATTAATAATGGACCTCCTTTTACTTGCCTGAAATCATTCTGAAACCCGTTGAGAGCATGCCTCATATTATCTAAATATCCATATAGTTAAATCAATTTTAAAACATTGTAAAAGGCTGTTTTAACATCAATTTTTATTTTAATCGATGCAACATATGGATGTGGTTTGAAAAGCCAAATTTTAAAAAGACAGCAGCTTTGAATGCCCCCTCCCCACCCTGCTCCTTCCACATAGTCTGGTACTGGAGACTGTTGTTTGGTGGAGGATTTTGTGACTATACTTCTGTTAGTCAGGGTTCTCTAGAGGGACAGAACTAATAGGGTATACGTACATATACAGGGAAATTTATTGGAGTATTAACTCACATGGTTACAAGGTCCCACAATAGGCTGTGTGCAAGCTGAGGGGCAAGAAAGCCAGTCTGAGTCCCAAAGCTGAAGAATTTGGAGTCCAATGTTCAAGGGCAGGAAGCATCCAGCACAGGCGAAAGATGTAGGCTGGGAGGCTAAGCCCGTCTAGCCTTTTCACATTCTTCTGCCTGCTTTTTAATCTGGCCATTGGCTGAGCTGGCAGCTGATTAGATGGTGCCCATCCAGATTAAGGGTGGGTCTGCCTTTCCCAGTCCATTGACTCAAATGTTAATCTCCTTTGGCAACACCCTCACACACACACCAGGAATAATACTCTGCATCCTTCAAACCAGTCAAGTTGACACTCAGTATTAACCATCACAACTTCCTTCCTTATACAACATTAGCATTGTACCTGCAGTTAACAATTGCCTTTTTTTTGGCCCATTTCTGAAAACATTCTTTTTGCTATTTCTCTCCATGTTTTCCAACACTTCTGTTGTGTGCTTCTTGGTAATACTTTCAAAGTGCTTAAGCTGATTGATAAGAATTTTAAAAAGGAGAAGAACAGAAGAGGAAAAAGGAAGATAACCAATCTAAAAATTTATTACTTTCTCTTCCCTTCCAGCTTTATCGTTGGTGTTTGTATAGTTGTATCAGAGTGAATATATAAATTTAAAAATTTTTTCTCACTAATATTTCATAAGTAGATTTTCGTGTTCTACCTAGTTATCTCAATTTTTACTTTTTAATAGTGCATACTGGCCAGGTGCGGTGGCTCACACCTGTAATCCCAGCACTTTGGGAGGCTGAGGCAGGCAGATCACTTGAGATCAATAGTTCACAGATAGCTTGACCAACATGGTGTGAAACCCTGTCTCTACCAAAAATATACAAAATTAGCCAGCTGTGGTGGCATGCACCTGTAGTCCCAGCCACTCAGGAGGCTGAAGCACAAAGAATTGCTTGAACCCAGGAGGCAGAGATTACACTGAGCAGAGATCTCACCACTGCACTCTGGCCTTTACAACAGAAGGAGACTCTGTCTCTAAATAAATAAATAAATAAATGTGTATATATTCTGTGGTTTAGCTGGTATGTTGGTAACTACTTAACTGATCCCTTGTTTGGGAACATTTATGTTGTTTTCAGTTTCTTTATTAAATAGCTTTGCTCAATATTTTTCATCTTTTGACTTTTTTTCTAGTTGAATTCAGTTTCTGAGGATGGGATTACCTACTGAAAGAACGTGACTCTTTTTATGCAGGCCCCAGCATTTGAATTATTAATAGTATCTTGGGCTTGTGTTTCCCCCAAACAAGTGGGTTTTTCTGAAGAGAAAAACATGCAAAGGTTAAATGTCCCTAAATCATCTGTCAGGTATTAGACTTTCTTCCTTAAGAAAATCTTGGATTTGTTAAAAAGTGTGACCTCTCAGATTCAGAGTTCAAATCTCTAATTTCTGTATAATAGTTTGCTTTGTTTTGCTTTCTCTGTTTCAGAGGATCCCAGACCCCAGCAACCTCCCCTTAGTGGCCCCCTGGAAGACTTACCCTCTCTTCTTTGGCACAGCGATTTTTGCATTCGAAGGCATTGGAATGGTAAGAGCTGCACTGTGATTTCGGCCAGTGTTCTCTAGTGCCTTTGGTGTCTTCCAGATCTGTTTCAAGGAGTGCTGAGGAGACACTGTTAGAAATTATCTTCCGAGGCCAGGCATGGTAGCTCAAGTCTATAATCTCAGCACTTTGGGAGGCTGAGGCCAGTGGATCCCTTGAGGTCAGGAGTTCAAGACCAGCCTGGTTAACATGGTGAAATCCCGTCTCTACTAAATATACAAAAATCAGCCAGGCATGGTGGCAGGCGCCTGTAATCCAAGCCACTCAAGAGGCTGAGGCAGGCAAATCACTTGAACCTGGGAGGTGGAGGCTGCAGTGAGCCAAGATCATGCCACTGCACTCCAGCCTGGATGACAGAGCAAGACTCTGTCTCAAAAAAGAAAGAAAGAGATTATCTTCTGTGACTCACTGGTCAGTTAGTGAATAGTGTTTCAGGGATTCCATTGAGATTTCCCAGCTCCAACTTTTCAAGGCAAGTTATATATAATTTAAAAATGTTTACATTCAAGGCCCCTTCATTGCACACTGATCTCCTATGTGTGCAGTAAGCAATAGTACATGGTAATCAGAAAGGCAGCGTTTAGGTCTAGTAGCTGTGTGACCTTGAGCAAGGGCTTCAGCTCTTTGAGCCTTCATTGTTCCTAAAAAGTGAGCTTAATGATTCATAGTTGTTAGGATTCAATGACATATGTGCAAAGTGCTTTGTGCAGACCCTGACACATGGTAAATATTTAATAGATTTTTATTTTATTAATATTATTGATTTTATTATTGAATCAGTAAATGTATGAATAATTTCTCTGCCCTAAAACATTGTATTTTCTGCATGTAAAAGAACAGCCTTCACTCCGGGCTCAGCATCCTGTGATTTCACCAAATGCTTTTCCTAAAGAGGCATCTACTCCTCCATCTTACCTAATTTGAATTTTCTTTGTATTTTTCATAATAATGGTACAGAACTCTTCTCTGAAGAGTTTTTCATTCCTAGCCAAGGGCTCTGCAAATGGGAAGACTCTCCTCCTGTCATAGCACTTCTTTCTCTTTTTTGACTTCCCAGTCACTTTATCTACTTTTAAGAAAACCTAGAAGCTGTGCAGATTGTTTTGTCAACATAATGAGGAATCACCCAGGTGGTGCTGATGAAACACACTGAGGCTCTGACATCATGGGGGAGGCTTTGGGAGTGATCACATGTAAATCACTGATCTCCCTGAGGTTTTGTACCTTGCCCTGTGCTCTTTCTTGGAGTCTCTCATTTCCCATGAAGACTGTCTTACTTAATTCAGAAACACAAATGGTTGCCTGCTGCTGGGGAAGAGGCCTGAGTGGCCCTATATTTCAGCAGTGAGAAAGAGATCCCAAGATCTCAGAACTTGAAAGAAGAGTCTGAGAAAGTGTGGAAAGATGCCTAGAGACTTTGGGTTCCTAAAGGACCTTGTACTAAGTTTTTAGTAGCTTACCGAAACAGCACAGCGCAGAAGTTGTTTGCTTGGTTTCATTAGCCAAGACTTGTACACAAAGTTATTCTGCAAACATTATCAGGATTTGCATTTCTACTTTTTAAAGAGAACACTGCTAGATTGACTCTTAGTTTTGGATCTAGGGCTTGTTCATTGCATCCGGGTGGAAGTGCCAGGCTGCACATTGTGTATTCACCGTGTGCTCTGTGTTCATGCAACTGTCACAGGCCCGATAGGACATGGAGGAGATGAGCTTCCTGCTCTCTGGCTCTTTGTACTCTTGGTACGAAGGAAACTGACAGATACATTTAGAAGCTGTTTCTAATGGATGTGGATTAACTGAAGCTGGAGCAGGTGGTGGGAGACACTCGGGGCCCCTGGGAACACGAGGCCTGCAACAGGATCGTGGTGTTGGTGTGTGCAGCATAGACCTGTTGTGCCTCGTGGCCACAGGCACTGCAGGAAAATAATTGTAGTGACAAGATCAAGGTTTGTGGCACAGCGAGATACTGCCCAGTGTTGCTCTTCCTCATTAGCTGTGCCACATCCAGTTGATGGCACACTGTGAAGATCCTCACAGTCGTACCTGCTGTTTTCCCAATTCCTAAATAAACTCATTTTCATAAGGTGTCCTTCCTTTGCTTCTTCGAAAGTTAAAGAATGTCCTATGTTATAGGTCAGTGGTTTTTAAGAGGAGTCTGGAAACTGGGCATTGCTAAGTACCCAAGTGTTAAGATCCTCTGTTATCGCACTACAGTTTCTCTAACGTGGAGGTTTAACTTGTCACTGCTCATGCTTGCCCCTATTGAGCTAGAGTGGCAGTTTTCCCTGACCTATATTTTGCATTTTTTAGACAGGTTAGCAGGAAGCTATAATCTCAGTTAGCTGCCAGGTGGGCATGACGTGAGAGGGCCTTCTGGTTGCCATGTGGCCTAACTCATAGGGCAAGGGACATTCTCAGCCTGCAGGGATGCTGGAGCAGGAAGACAGAGCACTGGCTTGAGCCAGGAGTCCTGGGCACTTGCCCTGCCCACCCTTACTTTTAGGACTTCCAGGCTAGGAAGGGAGCTGTGAGTCCCTTCTAGTCCCAAGAGTATAATGTCTGATGAAATAACTTTATTTATATAGCAGATGTGCTTCTGGAGAATTCTGGGAATAAAAGAGTTACTTTTTTTCTGAGGATTTTTTTTTTCTTGGCCATTAACTTTGCTTTTATCTGCTTCTCTGTCACTACTCTCTCATAGGTTCTGCCCCTGGAAAACAAAATGAAGGATCCTCAAAAGTTCCCACTCATCCTATACCTGGGCATGGCCATCGTCACCATCCTCTACATCAGCCTGGGGTGTCTGGGGTACCTGCGATTTGGAGCTAATATCCAAGGCAGCGTAACCCTCAACCTGCCCAACTGCTGGTATGTGGGGGAGGATGAAAACCTAGGAGTCCTGGATATTTAAAAAACTGAAGGGGCAGAGTGTGGATTCTTCCTCTTACTTGTCCCTTGAACTTCACTCTAGCCCACCATCCCCTGCCACCACCAGCCCTCACTGGCTGCCCTGGACTTCATTCTGTTTGGGTAATTCGTGCAGAGCCTTCTGCTGAAGCCATTGGCTGATCAGCTGATGGATAAGCTATTTCTCCTTGGAATTCCTAAGCCCAGAAGGACTGGGTATCCAGTCCATTCACTGTAAACCATTCCAAATGGACAGGGAGATGGGCAGGCAAACCTGGATTTGGTTCCCAGCATCCGTTGTACCTCTTCCTTGGCAGTCCCAGATTCGACACACAGGTGGGAGCATCTCACTGTGGGCTGGGGATTGTTGGGAGTCCTTTCTTACCTCTCTTGCATTGGTGAATGTATTATAGAGAAAGAGTGAGCCACATTGAAATGCTTCCTAAAAAGGTAGGTGTCCCAGGGCATGTGCTAAGCAACCATCCTGTTTTGAAGATGAATCATCTCATTGTGGAGAGCAGCTGTTAGCAGACACTGAGAAGCTTGTTGAGCACCCCAGAATCACCTTTTATTCTAGGCTGGCTGATCTGCCTGGGTGTGCTTTTTATTTTGTTTTATATTGTTTATTTTATTACATTTTTTAAGTCAACAGTACTCAGTATTTCCAGGGGGTTTCCCATTCAAGTATGAACCAAGCTTGACCCTGCTTACCTTCCAAGATCAGATGGGATTATCTTCCAAGATTCAGAATGGTGTGGCTATAGACCTGGCTTCGATTTTTATTTTTTGAAATTATTTTTAAGTTTGTTTTAACTAGTAAGGCATACTAATCATATATACTTATGCAGTGTGTGTGACATACATATTATAATGTGTAATTATCAAATCAGGGTAATTGGCATATCCCTCCAGTGCCTACTTTTAAATTTTCAAATGTTTCTGCCCTTCTAAGAAGTAAGAGGCAGATTCTAGCTTGGTGTAACTGTGTCACCTTTCCCTGGAAGAGAAATGGATCAGGAGCAACAGAAGCAGCCCACATGATCTGAAGCCATAGAGGAGCATCTGTCTTCTTTCCAACACCCCAAACCCAGCTGCTCTACACTTTCTGCTTCTATTTGAGTATAATTTATTTGACTGTCCCTGCAGGTGTCACTCTCCTGAGTCCAGATTTCATGGCTCTCCAGAGGCTTTGGGGCTGCTTTGAGTTTAATTATAGAGCCACCAGATGATTTTTCCAAAGAGTTTTTATTATCTATTCATGGAGCAAGTATGACCTTTTTCCAAACTCAGTCTTAACAAGGTTTTTCTCCTGCTTATAGCATAAGAACAACTTCTAGGTTTTTAGTTCAACCACAGAGAAATTCAATGCACATATACACATTCTGTATTACCACATTTAAACAGATTTCCAGCAAGCGAGGACAAATGTTTCTTGCTGCTTAACGCACAAGGGTCTGGTTTAAAGTGGAGCTTTGCTTAGGGACAGAGACCTTTCCTTTCGGTGACGAGGTCAATTCTGTAAGTTGATCACAGACGTTTTTTCTACTCTGTTCTGTCAGAGCACTGGAGTGATAAAATAGGGATGTCCCGTGGTGAGTCACGTCTTTTTTGGAAGCTACACATGAAGCAGTAATAGGAAGACAGCCGTAGTGGTATGGAAAGATGGAATTCTTGCTCCTGCCTCTTGGTCCTGCAAGGTCTTCATCTAATTCTAGGGACACTGACTTGGGTGGGACCGATAAAAATGGGCTTGTTACATTTTAATTGCATTTTTTGTTTTTGTTTTTGAAGGCATATACACCCATATGCCCATGGCAGAGATTCAGATTTTCAAAAAGTATACAGAGAACATCAAGTTTCCACCCCTCACCCTCCACTCTAGTTCCCAATTTTACAATTTCCCATTTCAGAGGCAACCATATTCCCAGTTTCTTATGTTTTTTCTGAGATGTTTAGTGTATGTAAGATTGTCCTGTGGGGGGAGAGTGTGTTTTTTCTCCTCTTTTTCCTTTTTTAAGACAAATTGTAGCACTCTGTAGATACTGTATTGCTTCATGCTTTTTATCACTTTAAAAAAAAAAAAAAGTGACATAAAACTGTCCCCATGATGGTGATATACTATATCAAGTGATATAGTGATATATCATGGGGACAGTTTTATATCACACCTAGAGTTCTGCCTCATACTTTGTTAAGAGCTATATGGAGGCACCATGATTTATCTGACCAGCTCCTACTGGTTAATATTTAAATTGTTTGCAGTCTTTCCTTCTTAAATAATGCTGCAGTTAGATATTTTGAATGTAAGCTTTTGTGTACTCGTGCAAGGATATCTGTGAGATGAAGTTGAGATTGCTGGGTCCGAAGGACGTGTGGGTTTGTGGCCTTGATAAGTGTCAACAAATCGCATTGGGACCATTTTGCACCCTCGCTGATTATGTGCAAGTGTGCTGAGCAGGCTTTGAATGTCTCCTGTCTGTCTGGGCAGGTTGTACCAGTCGGTTAAGCTGCTGTACTCCATTGGGATCTTTTTCACCTACGCTCTCCAGTTCTATGTCCCGGCCGAGATCATCATCCCCGTGTTTGTGTCCCGAGCTCCAGAGCACTGCGAGTTAGCGGTGGACCTGTTTGTGCGCACAGTGCTGGTCTGCCTGACATGTGAGTAGAAGGTGATAATTACCTTGTTTATTTTTCCCTAAAGGGCACCCGGTCTCCAGGGCGTGCATGAGAAAAGACAGGATGTGTTGTAGTGAAGCTGCCTATGTTTGTGAGCAGAAAACCTGACCCATGGCCTCACTTGCAGAGTTAAGGCACCCCCCAATGGGGAAGAGAATTATATATGTACCATAAAGAACATGGGAATGAGGACAGTGGTTGATTTATAGATAGTGTATGAAATGCTGTGGAGATGGTTATCATTCAGAGGAAGACATATAATTACTATCCCATATTAAATAAGGTAAAGGTCTGAAAGCCATTTAACCCACATCTATAATGAGTGTAAGTTACTTTGATGAAGCATACTTGTTTGCTTTTTCAAATAGTTTCTCCAGTGTGACAAGTTACTCCTTAGATTTCCTGTAGAGCCTGTGTGACACTATTCTAGACAGTTTTTAATGTCAGTCTTACTAAATATGTTTCAGAAAATTTCTGTTGATTAACCTAGGTGTTTGATTGATCGCTTGTGCTTTATTCTTTTCCCAACCCCGTGCCAAAGAGTGTTAAGTTAAAAGATGGGATATCCTTCTGTTTGCTACGGTTGAAAACTGGTGACATTTAGAAAATAAAAGTAAATTATTTTTTTGTAGCTTCTGTGAGTTGGTAGACTAGAGAACCCCTGAACAAGTCGATCTTTAATAGCTAATTTAAATTTCTAGGAGATTTGCAATTGTTTTCCAAATTGAAATGCTTAAAGCATAGATTTCTCTTTTTGGCTCTATGTGGCTTTTTTTTTTTTTTTTTTTTTTTTTTTTTTTTTTTTTTTTTTTTTTTTTGTTTTGTTTTTTTTTTTTTTAACAAGACTCTCTTTGCTTATTATATTGAGACTTCCCTGAGGATTTTCTTAAATTATTCAGTCTGAGCCTCTGTCTTTGGAATAAAGATAGATCCATATGATTTTTTAATTCTTGCTAGGGTTGACTGTTTTAAGGATGAAAGCTGGGAATGTTGTCTAGCATTTGCGCTGAGTCAGTCTTTCAAGCCCTCTGGTAGACCAGCCTATAGAAACAGCCCACACAGCGACTAATCCAGGGCCCAAGGCTGTTGAAAGCAGCTGCTGTTCCCACAGCGACTGAAAAAGATGGAACATGATGTATCCTGCTTTTCTAGTAGATTGCCTTAATGGGTGCTGGTAAGATGGGATACTTGGACTCTAGATTTTAATCCTGTCTGTGCCAGTAACTCTCCATGCTTTCATTCCAAAGTGTATGTTTCCACAATGGATGGATTAGCTCTAAGTGCTGAGGAGACAGCTTTCACGTGTACGGTATTTATAATGTAAACTCTGAGGGTCCAATTCTTAAATCCAGAGGGTACTGGAAGAAAGAATGTGGTTAGTTCAAATAATTTGCTTCTTTCCAAAGTGTTCCCTCCAGAAAAAGTAGATCTCCCTAGGTAAAATGCTCTGTCCTGACTAACCAGCTCCTCCTCTCTGCCTATTGAGCTGGGGCAGTGACTGGGAGCCTGACTCCTCTCCCTGCCCCATTTTCCCCTCCAACCTGGCTCAGCCTCCCTGTAGCATATGCCACGCTTCCTGCCAGGCTTATTTCTGCAGCGCCCTGCAGGAGACAGCAGTCTCTGATTCATAGACCTCATGCTATCCTTAGATGCCTCTTGGTTTTTGCTTCACTTTTCCTGGCCCTGTCTGTAAGTCTTATCTCCCTTCTACAGCATGATACTCAGAAGACATGGCTGCTTTTGATCTTCAAGGGCGTGCCGTTGTTTTTCCCTTCTGTGATCTATTGTGACTTAGCCCTGCATTGCCATCCTCTTCAAAAAGGCAGCTCCCTTTATCTCTGACAGCACTCGCCTCTCTCACCTTCCTTGGAGACTTTGAAGTAATTGTGGGACTCAGTAGAGGCCTTTCACGGTAGCAGCAACTTAAATGTATTTATGTGAGTCTCGCCTCTGTTCTTTCAGCTCTTTCGGCACCGTTGATTGGCATGTGATTTTAGATCTGTAACGTAATTGATTTTTTTTCCACTTATAAATTTTATCAGCAGCTTCTTTTATTGCTATTTCTGGTGTTTTCCTATCTTTTCCCCAACTTTTCCTCCTCCTCTTCATCCTCCAAGGGGAACAGAAGGAATTTGGTATAGCTTCATTTTTTTCCCCCTTCTTAGAATTCAACTTTCTCCCTGATCTCCCCCATCCTCCAAAGATTACTGTGGCTGATACGGACTTTGTGGATGCTGAGTTTCAAACTGTTGGAAAAGAGGGGCAGGGAAAACAAGTATTTCATAGAATAGTGTTAATTGTGTTATGATTTCATATCGGACAGTGTCTACTGCCAGCCCATATTTTTGGAAATGCAGTCTTAGCAGGTCACCTTATATCCATACCTTGTGTGGAAGAGGTTGGCTCCACCTGGCAGAGTCTGGAGTTGTAGGATCAATGGCTTTTCATATTTCTTTGGAGCAATCACCCATCCTTCAGTGATTCCTACTCATTCTCTATGGCATTTGCTGTGTGAAACATTTTACTTCAGTTTGCTATGAAAATTTCAGAAACCTAATTTTGAAGATATAATTACATAAAATCGCATCATTCAAGAAGCCTGTTCAGACTGGAATGCAGAGCGTCAAAACATTCCAGGCAGTCAGATTTTTAGAGGATGAAGCTTCCAGGTCCAAACAGTAGCTTCTTAGTACCTTTGAGCCTTTTACACCTTTTAGTCTTGCAGCTGCAGTGGAGAAGAGCAGCACCATTAATTAGCTGTGCAACCCTGGGTCCCCCAGGAACCCGCTCACAAGGTCTCGGGGTGCTCAACTGTAAGGAAAGATGTCTGATCTCCAAGGCTTCTCTCACCTCCAAAATTCTGTGATTCTGTACAGCTGCTTTGAGCTTAATTTTAAGTTTCTACAAAAATATTACTCTAAAAAAAGAAAGTCAATGTAAAAACATTTGGAAATAAAAGGAGGAGAAATGCCAATATTCCACCAATTTAACAAAATAATTCTTTTTCATTGTATCTTCTGTGTCGTAATCCTCATGGTTGCATTGTAAAATCAGTTACAATTGTAGTTTACACATAACTTTGTCTTTCACATTTTATTTACTTTTATGTCACAAATATTCATATCTTTCACTCATATTTTTGTGACCTCATGGTATTCCACTGTATTGGTGGATCATATTAGCTAAGGTACTCCTTTAATGTTGGACATGGAGGTTGTTTCCCTTGCTTTTGTGTTTTTTAAATGTATACCTCCACTAAGTCAAAAGTCGTATTCTGTCTAAGACGCTTGTGAATTTTAAAGGCATAGTTATAGACATTTAAAAGTAACATGGTAGGTTTGAACAGCTTTGATCATAATAAAATAGGGGCAAGAGCTCCCAGCACAGGAACTGTAAATGGCCAGCATATTTCCTAAGTGCGTGTATGTTCTTTTCAGTGCTTTTCTCTTGTCTTGTGCATAAGTCAGCTCTTTCTGATGCTGGTTCAAAACCACAGGCCCCAGAATCCAGTTCCTTCTGTGAACATGACTGTTGACCGTAAGTTGCTTCAGCAGTTTAAAAGGTCATATTCTTCATGTCTCTTCAGCCGAAGGGAAGATGTTTTGTAATACTGTTGGAGCCCTCTTGACTAATCATGTGGTCTAGCTCAGGTTGTCCTCTGGCCCCCTTTTTGTACATGCCACAGCTGAGCTGCTGCTGAGAGGTGTGTAACTACAGTGGGGAACACACGGTCTTCCTCTTTGTCTGGGCTGGGTCTTTTTGTTTTAGGGGCAGGGGATTAGAGGAGAGTGGGGAGAGGGGTATTCTTGGCTGTCTGCTTCCTGACATCTCAACCTTGTTGAGTTTCTCTTCATAGGGCAGTTTTAACTCACAGAAGACAGTTAGTGCCAGAAGGGGTTTTATTTGCCCCTCATGTCTGAGTATTTGATTGCTGCGCTGGAGTTGAAGTCATTTTCCATGGTGGCCAAACAGATACCCGTGCTGTTGAGCCCTGGGAGCTGTTTATGCTAATTTGGTTTGGACATCCTTCTCTTCTTCCCACTTTGCATTAGTGGGAGCCTCGCTCTTCTTGCCCTCTTCAGTGTCACGCCTTATGTAGAATTCAGTGGTGGTATGTGGTTCAACCAGGACAGGAAGAGGGACTTCCCTTTGCAGCCCTGTGGTCTGGGCTTTAAGAGGAGAGAAATGTTCTTAAAATCTCTATTAAGGATATTTTTATTAGGCATATTTATCTTATGTAGTGGTGAAAACAAGAACAAGTTTTTAGAGTACTTATAAAATACCATGACGAAGTGAAAGATCTTTGTCCAGAGGAAAAATTCTGACCTCAGGCTCCTGTTTCTGTTTCCACTTAACTCTCACACAGAGTGGAGCATCTCTCCGACTCCACTTAACTGTCATGAAGGACCCATATGCCCTGCTAGGTCAGTGTGGGAGAGGCTGGGGAAAGGACAGACTGTCAGGGCTTCAAGAGGCTCTGATTTGTCTCCTGCTGGGGGCTCAGTTTCTCTGATAATAAAGGCCTCCTGTCTCTTGAGTGGGCTTCAGCATTTGTGGAGATGCTCTTGTGGCTGTCACTGAAGGAATAACTCACACTTTCTTTATCCATACAAAACCGGTTGGGTTAGAAGCTCCCTTTTTGGCAAGCCACATGTCCCAGGAAAGGAATTCATTCCATCGCTTTGCTGTGCCACCTCAGGCAGCACGTGGTGCTTCCCAGTTGTCAGCGAGGTGAGGGACATATCCCACAACACAGTCCTAAGTGACTAACACTGGCGTGTGTAGTTCCTTAAAATTTCAGAGTTGGGCGAGACTTCAAATGTCACCTAGTCGCCAGATTTCACAGGTAAATGAATGAACTGAGGCTCAGAACAGTAAGCTGACTTGCCCTGCACCACTCAGCTTGTTGGGGAGCAGCAACTGGTGATAATATTGAAGCATTTATTACTGATTTTTGGAACTCTGAGTTCTTTACATGAGGGATATCGTTTGACCATCCTGTTTAGCAGCTGGGGAAATGAGTCTCAAAGAGTTTAGGTAACTAGACACTGAGTGGTAGAGCTGAGGTCAGAGCCTGGGCATTCCAAACCCAGAGCCTACACCCATTCCTATACCACCCTCTGCCCAGGGCTCAGTTCTCCCAGTTGTGGCCTTAGTGCAGTTTCCACCTCACGGTAACACCTGGCAGCAGCACTGCAAGGATGACATTAGGCAGGGAGACCCAGACCCCAGAGAGGGCAAGTGTCTTGGTTGTTGGTACCACAGCAGACTGGCTCTTTTGTTGAGTGTTAGGTGACCTATGATGAGAATGCTGTTTTGTCATCAGCCTACAGTTTTTACCTCCAATTTTCTCCATATTCAACCCTCAAGGTTTGGGGGATGTCACCAACTCTGTTTAGAAGCAGCTAGGAGCTGAAAACATACCGTTTTTAAGTTGCAGGGAAATTAAAAGCCTAAACTTTTTGCACACTTCTCAGAGCCTTGAGATCAGTGAAGATGTTAATGAGAATTGCCATTATGGTGGATTAGTAGAAGAAGGAAAGATGAAGAATTGCCCCAGAGTACAACACTGTGGCCAGGTGGATCTGAGACTCGCTTTGCTGTCAGGCTTTGGATCCCTTGTCCAATTCTACTTTATTTGTTTTTATGGCTCCTCAAAAATCAACTTCAGACATTTCAGTTTAAAGTGTTTCTTACAAAATCTGGTCTCTAAGTGCAATCCAGTCCTTTCTTCTGGTGCTCAGCCAAAGAAACAGTGATGGATTTAGACATTGGCTGCCTTGGACTGAGATGTTCTGGCAATCTCACCAGTGTGGTGCCTTCCTTAGAATGACTCGACTGCATTTCTGCTTTACAAAATGAACTTAGAAGCAAACCTCTCATATACAATGTAACCCTCTCGTAGGAATCAGTGAGGTGGTAGATAAGCTCTGAAAATCTGTATCAGTACTGGGAGCATCCAGCTGTCGCCCAGCAGTGGGAAACACAATCTGTCAAACTACATTTGATTACTAACAGGTTAAGGATGTATTTTTCATGGCCAAAAAATGAATACTAATGATGATAACGTTACATGTAAGACATCCCTACTGTGTACCAGGCCTTCTGTTAAGCACCTGCATAACCTCATTTGATCATTATGACATCTCTGTGACATAGGAGCAGTTAATATCCCCATTCTGCCAACAAGAAAACTGGGGAATGGAAAAGTGCCATAACTTCCCCAATGCCACTCAGCTAATTATCAGCAGAGCCAGGATCTGAACACAAGAACCTAGTTCCAAAGCCGACAGCCCTCAATAAACTGTGAAACACTGACCTTTGCCCAGCTGGTGGAAAGATCAGTGAGACGGGAAGCGTGAGGTCAGTGGGCATTAGGATGGGTGTGTTTGGTGAACCCTTCTCCTGCTTACAGCACTGTCTGGCAGTGTTGACAATGGCTGCTGTGGCACCCCCTGTGACAGTGCACCACTGGTCGTCAGTCCCTCCTTCCTCGCTCACCTGTGGTAGAGTTTCAGATGTTGGAGCTGGGATTGTCCTGACACAGAGATGCGGTCATTGTATGGGGCTTTGCCAGTGGTCAGCCTGCAGACAGCACTGCCTTTTTTCACCTGTAGGAAAGTGCTCTGTGAAATGGGGTTTGATCATGGTGTCTTTCAAGAAGGAGAGGTTTCTTTTCCTATTTGGTTTCTTGTTGGTTAAGTAGAGATGTTTGTGTTGAGTGGTAAGAAAATGAGCAGCTGCTCAGAAATGTCCACCTCCTTTTCTGTTCCCTACCCTCCCTTCTTTGGTAGAAACCAGATTGCCCTGAAATATAATTTGGTTCCTTTTGCCAAGAAAGATGGAAGTCATGCACTCTAGCAAGAAAAGCTGAAAGCCTGCGGACTGGAGCCAGAAGATCCAGATTCCAGTCCCAGTTCTGCTGATGTTGCAGTGGGCCACCAGTTATTCCACGTTTCTGGGCATCTATTTCGCAGAGACTGGACTGGATAATGTCTAAGTTTTCGTAGAGCTCTCAGTCCTTTAAGATGGGCAGATGCTGAATTTGCTCAACAGTAGGTAGATAGACCTTTCCAAGCTCTGGGCATCTTAAACAGGCATGTCCTCTCTCCCTGCAGGCATCTTGGCCATCCTCATCCCCCGCCTGGACCTGGTTATCTCCCTGGTGGGCTCCGTGAGCAGCAGCGCCCTGGCCCTCATCATCCCACCCCTCCTGGAGGTCACCACCTTCTACTCAGAGGGCATGAGCCCCCTCACCATCTTCAAGGACGCCCTGATCAGCATCCTGGGCTTCGTGGGCTTTGTGGTGGGGACCTACGAGGCTCTCTATGAGCTGATCCAGCCAAGTAATGCTCCCATCTTCATCAATTCCACCCATGCCTTCATATAGGGATCTTGGTTCGTCTCTGCAGCTGCCTACCCGTGCCCTGTGTGTCCCCCGTTACCTGTCCCCAGAGCCTTAGGTATGGTGCAGGCTCTGAGGAAAGTCGGGTCACTGTGTGGGAACCACTCTGCCTGGCACCTGGGTACCCCAGGCCAGGTAAGGCTGAGGGCAGGTGAGAGGTGGGGTGGCAGACACGCAGAAGTGCCGCAGTGACAGGGTTGTCACTGCTCACTTGTATCTATTTACACCCAGAACTTTCCAGATCTCCCCCATCATGCCTCCTTCTTCCTACCTGCCCTCTGCCTGCTGGTGCACCTCACCTAACTCATTCTCACTGCACAGTTCACTTTATTTAACAATTTTAGTGTCCCCACCTCATGTTTTCTCCTTTTCGGGGCCAAGCATAGATGAAATAACTGGGAACTTCCCCTCTTTATAAAGCTGGGCTTCTTTCCCATCTCTCTTCCAAATGTTGTATCTCAGTATTTTTCCTATTCGAGTCTCCAGGGGGTGGCTGGACCTACGTGGTCATTTGAAACAGGCCCCCCAAGCTGGAGTTTTTAATCTTGACTCTGGCTTGCCGTGACCCCTAAGGCAATGCTTCTCTTCTCCGGATTCCTTAGTTATGGGTCACAGTACTGTACTCTTAATTGTTTTAGCTCTTAAAACATATGAAATGTTGCCTAAACTGAAAATATTTATATCTTATTTAAAATCAGATTTTTGTTTTTAGACTGTCTCTAGATTTGGGGTTATTACAAATCGCTTCTTCCTCAGTAAACTTTGACTCAACTTCTCCTGCTGAAAAGAAGCTCGCTCCAGGAGATGTCTGCTTGGGTCCTCAGCACTCTTGGCTGAGGACTCAAAGGTTTTAATCAGGAGTATCTAAAAATGTACCTCGGTGAGGAGGCGCGGATTTTGCCTCCTGTTGACCAGCCTGGTTTCATATGAAACGACACTGAAGGACTGCAGAAATGTTGCGGGTGCACCAGGCCGAGGGAAGTGTGGCTGAGTGAGAGGCCTATGAAGTGGGGCTGTGTACGTTTCAGCCTCAGCCCATGCCAGGTGAAAGGATGAGCAATGCTCAGTCACCATCAGGCTGGGACGACACCCGCTCTATTGCCACGGATGAGTAGCTGAGGTCAGTGTGCACAGACAGTTTTAAATTAAGTTCATAATCTTTACAGCAGCTGGTCTGACAACTACGTGTGGTGCTTGGTTGTTTACAATCAGTGGGGAATAGGGCAGAACCAGTGCCCGGCCCCACGCTGCCTCTGTGGCCTGGACTTTGAAAGGAACCACTGAACCACTGAACACTAACGAGCCCTGTCTTTCCCCCAGAATGCCTCCCTGGGTATCACAGACAGCCTTGAGGTGGGTCCTCCTCAAGGTCAGCCTTCAGATTTGGGAGCAAACTTCAAAGAAGGCAGAAGAAGATACATTGCCTTGCTGTGGCTGTCTCTTCTTTCCTCTTATTGTGAGAAATATTTCAGAAGGTCATTGATGAATTCCCCCTCTCATTAGCACTGTGTGTGTGCACGTGTGTGCACATGTGTGTGCTTCTGTGTTCCTGTGTAAGCAACAGAGCACACTCCTTGTCTTTTCTGTTCCTGTCACCAGGCTCTTGCTTCACTGCAGATACGGTTCACTCCGAAAGTTAGTTGAGGGAGAGCAGCAAAAATGTATCAGGAGTTTTGCTTCTGTGTTTCACTAAAGCTTATGGGGCTCTGACCCACTCACATGGCCCCAGTTTTTTCTTTCTCTTCTGTTCCAAAGCCAGGAGAGCTGACTTCCAGGAGAAGGGATGGGAAAAAGGGGACCCTCATTGTAGTGGCTCCCGACCTACCTAATAATTTGTTAACTTGGGAACATGCCATCATTGTTGACTTGTTCTTCCTTAGGAGAAGGACGGTTTTCACCCACCCTTTCTGTTCTATGGTGGACTCTAACAGGTGCTATATGACCGAGAATCTAGCTGGGAGTAGCAGAGGCCCTGTCTTCTGAAGTTTCACGTTTAGAAGTTACCACCGTGGGCTCAGAAACTGTCATCTCCTGGTTCTAAGCTTGGCCTCTGGCAGCCCAGCCTCTATCTTAGCTGTCTTCTCAGTGGTGCTGAGGGTGGTCTCAGTGAGAAGGCGGATGCCAACTGGAGGGCAAACCTGTGTCCTTCCCACGTCCTCCTTGGTGGACGTTTCTCAGAGCTGCTAAAGGCCATCCTGCCCAGCTGAGTTCTGAGATGGGGACTGTGATGCTGGGACCTGAGGGCTGGATGGTAGAATACTGGGGTCCCCCAGCTCTTAGGAAGATACAGGCTATTGCTCCCATGGTCCTGACCCTGAGAACGTGGTATGTAGGAGAGTTGGCTGTAGCTTTAGGATTTCTGGAAGCCAATTTGGCATGGCCTGTTTGATCTCTGTCTTGTGTTCCTGCTACACTGACAGACTGTGTGGCTCTTTGGAAACACCCAGGAAGGGGCTCCAGTCGGAGGATCTTCCTGGCTATGCAGCTGCACAGCTCTTAGGCATCACGCAAAGGATCAGCCAGACAATGGTAGTGGGAAGAAGCCCTTCCTCCCCTTCCGCAAGCAGCTCTCGGCCAGCTCAGAATCTCTTCTGCAGCCCCCAGGGCTTCTTGAAGCAGAGAACCCTCCCTGGTGTCTTCCCAGGATAAGTAGAAATATCACAGAGCAAAGGCCTTCGGGAGTTGTGAGGCTGCATCTGCTGGAGCAAAGAGAAACCCTGGGCTTTCTGTCCAGATACTCTTGAGCTCTGTGACCCTGCTCCTGTCACCCCAACTTCCCCAAACCAGAGGTAGCTTTCTCAGAGCCCCTTGGGGGTTTTCTCCTCCATGCTGCTGTTGGGGGCAGGCTTCCAGCTGTCAGTGGGCAGTGCACATCCTCCTAAATGCAGGCACTTGCCAGGGAGAATGTGAGCTGGCATCTTCTGTTCACCCTGCCTAGCAGTTGTCACCATTCACAAATGGCATTATTTATATTGTGCTGCTGTCCAGCTGCTAAGAACCCTTCATCTGCACAAGCCCTGGCTAGATATGTGTGAATATGTGGCATCTTTCCATTTCTGCTGTCCTCTTCTATCCCACCTCTGCAGCCAGATTCATTGGCTGATGCTCACTGCTCACTATCTATCCCCATGAAATTTATAGTTTTATCAATAGTCTTAAAGTGTTGATCTCAAACATGTATATTAGAAAAATCATGTTTCTTCTCTCTCTTCTCTCATCTTACTTTTCTCTTCTCAGATTTCTCTATTCCTAGAACACAATCTCTGTTTAACACCAATGTTCACCTCATATTTTTTAGAAGTGCAAAAAGCTCAGTTTATGTCTGTTTACAGCTCTCTCTCCTCACTTCTCACAGCAAGCAGGTCTGTAGCAGTGGATTTTATTTTGTAGCTGATGAGATGTTAAGGCAAGCCTCAGCATCAGCCCCTGCTACGTTCACAGTGCTGCTTCCTCGAAGAGAAGCCACAGAGTCCAAGTGGCAGGACTTGAGGTTGGCTTCCAGTCTGCCTTAGAAGTTAATTTTCCAAAGTACATTACAAATCTCTGAGGCCATTAGGGGAAAAGGAAGGAGCGTGGTTTGTCTTTGAAATTACGGTTAATACTTTTCGACAATAAGTCTGGCTGGTCGCAAGGCTGTTTGTCCCAGCAGCACCAGCCTATGACATCTCTTCCCTTTCCTTTGTGCCACCGAGTCGTTCCCTGGCCAGAGGACATAAGTGGTGCTGATAGGAGGCTATCAGAGTGAGGAAGGTAGGAAATGAGGGTGCAGGGTGCCTGTCATTCACTGTGTTATTTGGTTTAAATCAAAGTGATTCTGGGGAAGATGTGTTCTTTCAGTGGGTAATAAAATCAGTAACTCTATTGTAGAACATGTCAATCGATGTGTGAAGAAAACAGAGCATACAGTAGGTGTTGATAACCAGACAGTACTGTGTACGTCACGTGGCTGCGTGGATGTGCACTTCCAGCATGGTGTGTGTAGAGATGTGGCTCATGCCAGAGCTCGTAGAGCCTGTTTTGGGTTTTGCACATGGATCATATGTTAAGCTTTTTCTTTTCAATAAATGAATTTTATTTTTTATTTTTGAGAGGTTGCTGTCTGTGTCTCTTTTTTTTCATGTCACTCTGATCCCTTTATTAGATGCTGGGTTCAATGTTTCTGGCTTATGCCACAGAGTTCATATGGGAAAGTGGCACAAGCAGTAGACCCATGTATGGAATTAAGAGTTGCCCAAGAAGAAAGGGACCAGTAATGTTTTGTTTTGTTTTTTCTGTTAGGCATTCCTCCCCTCCCTAAACCTCCTCCTGCTTCTCCTGAAAACTGGAGTAAGAATTTTCAGCCCTCTCCATGCATAGCAGATGAGCCCACGTGACAGATGTCGTAGCCAGTTTTATATGTGTCAACTTATAATTCAGTCACACACTAACCCAGGTGTTCCTGTGAAGGTATTTTGTAAATGTGGTTAATTAACATCTATAATCAGTTGCCTTTAGGTAAAAGAGGTTTTCTCAATGTTGTGGGTCGGCCACATCCAATCAGCTTAAAGGCCTTCCGAGCAAAGCTGAGGTTTGCCTGGAGAAGTTCTGCCTCAAGCCTGCAGCATTGGCTGCTGCCTACGGGCCTGCCCTGTGACTCGCAGACTTGCCGGCTCACACAGTCATGGAGCCAGTTCCCTCATCTCTCTCCCTCAATCTCTCTATGTGTATATATATTCACATATGTGTGTTTATATGTGTATACCTGTATAAATGTGTGTGTGTGTATATATATATATATATATAAATATATATATATATATATATATGTCTCCTACTGCCTTTGTTTCTCTGAAGAACGCTGACACAACAGGTAACACTTAATTTTCTTGAAATGTGGAGATTATTAATTTTCTTGAAATGTGGAGATTAATTTCAGGACACGACAATGGAAGACACCCCTTCCCTTCCCTTTTTGTCACTGAGAGGGAAAAACACACACAAAGCTTAAAATGTTTATTCTCTCAACACAGTTTTCCCCAAAAAATACGTGGGAATTTGTTCCCACCAGCAAGCACGAAACCAGTTCTGTGGCAAGCACTAGCCAGATGTGCTCCAATTCATTTCTGACACCACCTACCTGGAGATGGCATCAGATCCTACAGGATGAGGGCTCAGTCCTTAAGAGTGACACCCCCACCCCCACCCCCACCACTCCAGTGCCAATTGCTAGTGCCAGGTTGTTTACCTGTGCTTCTAACTGGCTGTAAATTATAAATCAGGGTTCCCATGATTCTGTTTTGGGGTTTGATTTGTTAGGGCAGCTCACAGAACTCAGGGAAGTACGTTTCCCAGTATATTATACAAAGGATACAGATAAAGAGATATAGGGCAGGGGATGGGGGGCGAGGCGCAGAGCTTCCATGCCCACCCGTGTGTACCACCCTCCAGGAACTTCTGCAGGATCAGCTCTCCAGAGCTCTCCAAACCCTGTCTGTCCTCTTGGGCCTTTTATAAAAACTTAACTGGGTAGGCATGATTGACAGCCATGTGGAATTATGATTGAACAGATAAATGTAAAATGTAATATTAATAGACTGGAGAAACCCAGGAAAGAGATTCTTCTTGGCCTCTCTATGCAGCATTCCTTCATCCAGAGCATGGAGCAGGATCACTTCTGAAATGAGGGTCTATGACTCACAATTAAACAAGGTAATTTTTTATGGCCAGCTCTAAGACAGAAAGCCAGAGGAAAATTAAGAGTTTTTTTTTTTTTTTGGTTTCTATAGACTATCTTGGGGAGAAATAACAAGGGCTATGGAACTTAGGAGCCAGGAACTGTGTACAAAAACCAACGTGTATATATATATATATATAATACCACAGTCACATAGACAAGGAAAAAACAGGACCATCTGAGCTGCCTCCTCTATGATTTGAAAAGTAATCTCTGTTGACTACTGAATTAAACAAATTTAAAAACAGAGCCTTCAAGGAACACTGTTAAAGTGTAACATTTTACTAAGAGAGGAAGGTGGAAATGTAGTCTGTTGTCTATTTTCATTGTCAATATCATTTCTGGAACGGGAAGGTCAGAGATTTAGCAGCTATACCAAGCCGCCAACCAGTAGGTAGCAGCACTGGGATACACAAGCAAGTCTCGTTCCAGAACCTGAGCACCTCCCAAGGCGCTGACTACCTGTCTTTGTTGCAGCCTCAAGAGGGAGGTTTGCCTTGAGGAATTGTGAGGGTTAGAGAGAATGTTGTAAAGTGCCATATGTTATAATCACAAAGAACTTCTTAAACATTTTCTGAAATATTAGCTGACCTGAAGAAAACCGGGACTCCAAAGTACTTCTGCTTGTATTTCCTGCTGTCCATTCATGCGCTGATATCTTGCTCACTTCCTCTGCGCAGGGCACTCAATCCTCTTTTAGATTGTCCACCTCTTGAAGTTTTCATTTCTACTCGCATTTATACCTACTGTAATCCCTTCTTCCAGAAAGCCGGGGCTCTGAGGTAAGCCCATTGCACTACTGGAGGCATAAACCTGAGTCACAGTGGACTGAATTTGAACCCTAAGCCTGGGGCACTTTGCTATGTAGGCTGCCTTACTTAGCCCATTGCAGTTGTTGTGCTGAGGAACTATGTGTGTCTTTAATGGGTATGCTTTACTAGATCCTTGGCCACTGGTCTCCTTAAAAAAAAAAAAAAAAGTATAATTTACATGTAATTAAATTACATTTACCTTTTTCAAATGTATAGTTCAGTGTGTTTTGCATACAGTCATGTGACCACCATCTCAATCAAGATACAGAATGTTTCCTTTGCCCCTAAAAGGTCCCTTGTGCCCCTTTTCAATCAATCCCAGTCCCTGGCAAGTGCTAATCTGTTTTTTTTCTGTCTCCAGTTTTGTCTTTTCTAGAATGCCGTATAAAACCATTATATATGCAGCCTTTTGTGTCTGGTTTCTTTCATTTAACATAATCATGCTTTTTCTATTCCCCCATGTTGTTACCTGTATCTGTAATTGGTTCTTTTTATTGCTGAGTAGCATCCATTGCATGGATGAATCATAATTTGTTAAACCATTCATTAGTTGATGGGCTGCTTTAAATTTTCAGCTATTCATGGCTTCGTTATTTTAATGTAAATTTCTTATAAATAATTTTTAAAACTGCCTCTTATTCTTCCTTTAAAACTCACTTGTAACTGCTGCTAATCAGAGTATGTTACGAGGACAACTTGAATTTGTGCTCCCCAGCGGCCATTCTCAAGTTTTGGGCTCAGATATACTCTATACTTAATCACAAAAACAAATTAGCTATTATGAATAAAGCTTCTATGAATACTCATGGACAGGTCTTTGTGTAGACATATGTTCTTATTTCTCTTAGGTAAATACCAAGAGGTGAAATTATGGGGTTGTATGGAAAATGTGTGCTAACTTTTGGCAAATTGTTTTCCAAAGCGGCCATATCCTTTTGGATTCCTAATGTATAACAGTTACAGTTGCCCCATATCCCCACCAATACTTAATATTGTGATCTTTTAAATTTTAGCCCTTCTAATGGGTGTAAAGTGGCTTCTCGTTGCAGTTTTAATTTGCATTTTCCTGATGACGAGTGATGTTTTGCACCTTTTTATGCTTATTGGCCTATCTTCTTTAATGAAGTATTTGTTCAAGTATTTTGCCTCTTAAAATTCAGTCATCTACTTCTTTCGATTTAAGCTTTTTATTTTGAAATAATTGTAGATTTACAGGACGATTCAAAGGCACTGGAGGGAGGTCTGGTATACCTTTCAGCTGGGCTTCCCAGTGTTAACATCTAGCAAAACTGTAATACATTCTCAAAACTGGGAAATTGACATTGGCACAATCCATAGAGCTGATTCAGATTTCATTAGTTATACATATACTCATTTGTGTTTGTGTGTGTGTGTGTGTGTGTGTATAGCTGTGTGCAGTTTTATCACGAGTCGCTTTGTATACACCACCACCACAAGCTAGATGCCTAACTGTACCATGACCTTAAGACTCCTTTATGCTGCCTGTTTATGAACATCCACTCCCTTCAGTACCCCACATCCCTAACCTTTCCCAGAAGCCACGAATCTGTTCTTCATCTCTATAATTTTGTTATTTCATGAATGTTATATAAATTGAATTATGCCATATGTATCTTTTTGGGATTGGCTTCTTTCACTTAGTATAATTTCCTTGATGTGCATCTAAGTTGTTGCATTTAGCAATAATTTGTTTCTTTTTATCATTGAGTAGGGTCCCATGGTACTGATGTTTATTCACTCACTGAAAAGAAATGTACATAGTTTCCAGATTTGGTTATTACATATAAAGTGCTATAAATATTTGTGCAAGTGTTTCTGCATGAAGATAGGTTTTAATTTCTCTGTTATATGTGCCCAAGAATGCGATTGCTGAATTGTACGGTGATGTGGTTTGGCTGTGTCGGCATCCAAATCTCATCTTGAATTTCCACACATTGTGGGAGGTGATTGAATTGTGGGGGCGGGTCTTTCCTGCACTGTTCTCCTGATAGCGAGTAAGTCTCATGAGATCTGATGGTTTTAAAAAGGTAGAGTCTCCCTGTACAAGCATATTCTCTCTTTTGCCTGCTGCTATCCAGATAAGATGTGACTTGCTCCTTCTTGCCTTCTGCCATGATTGTGAGGCTTCCCCAGCTATTTGGAACTGTAAGTCCAATTAAACCTCTTTCTTTTGTAAATCGCCCAGTCTCAGTTATGTCTTTATCAGTGGCGTGAAAGCAGACTAATACATATGGTAAGCTCATTATTAGTTTTAAAAGGAACTTCTAAACCATTCTCCAGAGTGGCTGTACCATTTTACTACTCCACCAACAATGTATGGGTGATGTATTTCCTTTGCAACTTTGCCAGCCTTTGATGTTATCACTATTTATCACTATTTGTGGTGGGTTTTTTTTTGGTTTGTTTGAGACAGAGTCTCACTGTGTTACCCAGGCTGGAGTGCAGTGACTCACTGCAACCTCCACTTCCCAGGTTCAAGTGATCCTCCTGTCTCAGCTTCTTAAGTAGCTGGGGCTACAGGCGCATGCCACCATGCCCAGCT